TGTGTGTGTGTGTGTGTGAGAGAGAGAGAGAGAGAGAGAGAGAGAGAGAGAGAGAGAGAGAGAGAGAGAGAGAGAGAGAGAGAGAGAACAAGTACGTTTCCAAACTCGCGGCTGGCATCATGGTACTTCCACTGACAGGAGGAGCAAAATTGAATGAACCTCCCGCTACGCCACGTTGTTGCTCCTTCGCCCCCGGTCGCCCGCGGGATTGCCATTTGTGAGTGTGAGTGTGTGTGTGTAAGTGTGTAATATGATACGAAACCCCCACGTGAATAGACGGGGCATGCTGCGCAGAAAAAGCACATCAAGCAACATACCAGGAAAAAAAAATCGTCCACTTCATTTGGCATGACCAAAACAAGCAAATATAGAGAAGCTGAATGCCCTACTATTGAAGCCAAACGGGTTAGCACATGTGGTGGAGGCAATGAAGAACCAAGAGGAGGTAATGCACACTGAGAAGACGTACGAGGCACATAAACAACACACAACAACAAAACACATAGGCTGGAGGGCACGGGGGAGGCGGGCGGGCACAAAAATACGATAGGACAAGGCAAAGACAGTGAGCTGAGAAACAAGTAGCACTGACGGAACAGGCAAACCGAAGAAAATACAAGTCCCAAGAAAGTCAAAGGACCGAAAAAAATAAAAACTGATGATAACAAGATTGTTTCGTCGGAGTTGCACCGACTCATCAGGAGGCTGAACCCTTGACAATCTGCGGAATCTTTGTATTTGATGGTTTGGGTTATGAACCCTTTGACCCTTGTTGAAGGCAGAGCAGACTGTCCCCAAGCGGAACATAGCAGCGAGCAGCAACCCTGTGAAGCACCAGGCAACACAGCGGAGGCAACAAGGCTGCACAACGCCAAAAACAATTGCAAGGAATGACATAGCACGCAGGGCATGCAGCGCGGCAGCCGTGTAGTGAAGCACAAGGCAATACAAGCAAGGCAACAACACTGCAGAGGACGACAGGGCGAGTGGACCAGCAGTTTGGCAACCGTGGAGCGAAGCACGAGGCACCAGCAACAAGGCAACCAACCTACAAGGCACACAAGCGACAAACACTGAAGGCACGCCCAGCGGATGAGAAGCACGGCAGCGAAGCAACGAAGCGCGAGGCAACACCAACAACACGGCCACACCACACAACGAAGACATCAACCTGCAAAGAACCACATGTGAAGCAAGCGGGACAAGCAGCAAGGCAGCGGCGGAGCGCAGATGAGGACATCCACACATCCAACACGAAGCAAAGCATCACATGACGATTGAACCGTGCAGACTGTTGGTTCCCACCACCCACTAAGCCAGGGAGTCACTCCAACGAACATCCGTCATCACCGACAGGCAACACAGACATCCCGAACCGAGCAGCCCCCATAAGAGTGCAGTAGGCACTCCAAACGAGGAACCACCGACTATTTGGCACTACTTAAGGGTGCTCAGTTGGGCACACTAAAAAGTTCGAAAAAATCAGAGGAAAAACAAACAACAGAAGAAAGACTGACAAACATAAAACTGATTGTGTGTGTGTGTGTGTGTGTGTGTGTGTGTGTGTGTGCGTGTGTGTGNGTGTGTGTGTGTGTGTGTGTGTGTGTGTGTGTGTGTGTGTGTGTGTGTGTGTGTGTGTGTGTGTTAATGGTTCCGACAGCAAACGGGGCTTCCGGTTTCCGCGATTGCGAAGGTTTGAATAAGGTGTAGGGCGGCATGGATTTCTTCCCCGACTGGGACTTGGAAGAGGAGCAGCAGGAGGTGGAGGAAGTGGTAACGTTCCTGGCAATCAGCACTTTCCCGGTTTTGCTTTCGTACCTCGATGCCTAAGCACTCTGAGGTCGGGCGACATGCATACCGCCTCTACCTGCCCTGCTGAACCGGCTCTGCCCCGCCTACCCCCCTCCGTACCATCGCGAAACGCCACGTTCATAGGCCTCCTCTTCCTCGCCCTGCTCCCCAATCTCGCCATAGCCTGCGAGTTGCTTGTTGCTTGTCTTTCCAAGAGAATCTTTCTCCACTTATCGGCCAGGCGTTTTGCGTTATTAATCGGTTGCACTATCTGCTTTGCAACCCTTTTTCTCGCCAGCTGCTGCTGCCTTTTCTTTGTGTTGGGCACCGAGGGGTGGCTTGGTGATTAGCCAGGCAGCAAGCGCTGCAAGGAGTGGAACGATGGAGCATAGAACATCGGCGGAGGCTTCGACATGCGCCTTTTTGACCTTCCTTTCGTTTCTCTCCTTCTTGTCCTTCCTCTACTTCATCTACTCCCTGCCCCACCCCCCTCCGCATGACCCCTCCCTCCCCCTCTCCCCCGCCGTGTCCCTCATCCCTCAACCCCATAACCCTCCATCATCCCTGTCTCACTGCACCCCCCTCCATAACCCGACCACTCCCACCACCAACCCCCCGCCTTCCAGAGATCGTGGAAGATGTCCCCCCCTCTGATGACGCCCCACGTGGCATGGGGCAGAAAAGCGCTTTAGGGAATTGCCACGTCCTTCCCGCAATTCGGCGAGATGATCCACGTGGATGCAGGAACGCGCTGGATCTGGAGGATAGAGCTGAAGCGGGATGTAACCCTTCCCCCCTTTCCCTCCCCCCTTCCCCTCCCCTCTCTCCATCTCCCCTCTCTCCATCTCCCGTTTCCCTTTTTTGGAACCACATGAATGTTTGACAACAGAGGAACGAGGTGGGCAATGTATTTTGTTCTTGTTACAGAAGAAGCTATGCGGTGTGATCTATGGTCGCTTCTGGATATATGGACTACCCCCCTTTCTCTCGTGTGGATGCACCCCTATCTCTCTTCACCCTTTGGTTCAATGAATACATCGCGTGCCCTTTTTCCCTTCTCTCCTTCTCCCCTCTTTCTCTCCGTCTCCTTCTTCTCCCTCCTCCATTTCCTCGCTCCTATCTTTTGTCTTCCCTTTAAATTGAATTTTTTTCCCGCTGTAGCCAGTCGAGTTTCTTTCCAGAGTACCTCTTTCGGAGGAGTATCTTCCTTTGTTGCAATCTCACTAAGTTGGGCCGATGAATATGTCTGGGCAATTGCATGCAATAAATTGTTTTTAATGCTTGTCGTGCTCTTCGGTATTTTCTATACTAGCAGATTGTTTTGCGTATCTTGCATTTTTTATCATTTATGTGGTAATATGTTGATTGATGCCCCCTCGGAAAACGAGGCAACCCTACCCCCCTTCACTCCGATTCGCCACCAACGCATAATTGGCCAACTTCGACCATAAAACGGTCCTATGTTTTTGCCCCCACCACAAATGGACACATGAGTGGTTTTACCCCGCTGCGTTGAAAGATCGCCTCCCGCATCTTGCTTTTTTTGCTCATAGTGTGCCGACGCTTTTGGTCGGAGTAGCACGAGTATGACGTGTCGTGCTCGTGCGAAACTCATGTGACACGCACATGCTACACTCACACAAACAAACAAACAAACGAACAATAAAAAAAGTCGTAGATTCATTTGATTTTCCTCTACCTATAGATGAAACTACCATGACGCCAGCCACCATGTTGAAGACTTACCCGTTCTCTCTCTCTCTCTCTCTCTCTC